GGAAGAAAGATTTGGGCCCAGAGTGGGGCCCGCCCCATTGATTCCTGTGTATCCTCCGCATGCTGTAATGCGGTGAGCCCTATTTTTAGCTTCACTTAGGGATGAGGCATGCCGGGATCAGAGAGGTGAAGTAACTCCCCGAAGGTCACACAGGAGGGAAGGGGGCGGGAGACTCTGAAGTTGAAGTCATTACACCTGGGACGGGGAGATACGGGTGCCCCAGTTTCCTAGAGAGGGGGGACCCAGGTCTCCGAGGGTGTGAGGAGCAGGGTGGGAGTCTGCAAAAGGCCACGGGCAGGCGGGAGCAGTTTCCCCTGAGGTCAGCTCTGGCCTTGGCTCACCTTTCTCCTAGTGGGCCCATGAGAGAGGGGGAGTAGGGCTGACTGGACTGGGAACACTTTCCCATACACCCCGGCGACAGCCTTCTGTGGTTGGTGCTGTTACCACCGTGTGCAAAGGAGGAAACTGAGGCCCAGGGCAGCCATGCCCAAGCTGAGGCTGGGGCAGAGGTTGCTGTCCCAAGTACATAGCCACACCCAGTACATTCTGCAGAATCCACCAGAAGCCAAGTGGCACGGGACAGCGAGGGGCGAGGGGCTCAGAGGAAGCTGGGCCAGCACCAACATGTGGACGGGAAACCAGAGAACCCAGGGCTCAGGGGTGGAGGGATGGCCAGGGCACAGGGGACCAGGGTGTGCAGCTCACAGGCTGGGGACCATGGTGAGTGGTGCCTGGAGCCAGCCAGACCTGAAGGAGAGGCCTACTTTGCCTCTTTTTTCTTTTGAGTGTAGAACCCAGGGCCTAGACAAGGACTCAGGCCCTGAGCCACACACCTCAAAGTTTTTTGTGAGACGAGCTCTCCATAGCCCAGGCTGACCTTAAACTCAGGATCCTCCTGCCTCAGTGTCCTAAGTAGCTGTCCTTATAGGAGTGTGTCATTGCATGTACCAGTGTTTTGTGCCGTCTGTACACTACACTCACTAGCTACAGCCTGCAAGCCTGAGGCGGGGGAAGTGCGATTACAACCTGCCTGTGACTTTCGCGGGATGCTTAATAAATACCATATTCTGCGTGGCGTGGAGCTGGGCGTCCAGCGAGCAGATGGCTGCGTGCTGAGTTATGTGATCTTGGGCAAATCTTGCCCCCTCCCCTGTTAGCGGTGGCCTCAACGGCTCAGGAGGACCGGTGCGGGCTGACAGTTCCCCAGTGGGCTCCCGCTCTGTCCTCCCGGGGAAGCCGCCGGCTGTGAGGGGTGCGGCTGCACCTGCAGCTGGCAGGTCACCTCCTCGGGCGTCCACGATTGTGATGTGCCAGGTGTGGGCTCTTACAGCCAGAGCTGTGACCAGATGCAACATTGGATATCACAGAGTCCCCAGGGAAGCCCAGGAGGTGACAGGAACCGGGTCCTTCCTCCTCTGGGCCCTTCTCTGTCTCCCTAACTTCAGGTGGGGGCTGGACAGTGATGGTGCCCACATCGACAGCCCTGTGGGTCACCTTCGTGTCCCCTCAGAGGCTGGAGATCCCTTCAGCAGCTGCTGGACCCCTGTGCCACCTCGGACACTGTCTCCTCTGAGCCTCAGTTTCTCTACTTGTCCAGTGAAGTCTTGTCTTGGGGTTCCCAGGTTTCAGATGTTTGCAGCGTAGGAAAAGAAAAAGAAAATTAAGTCTGGCAGCCGGCGTGGCATTGTCATTTCTCTGTCTTGCCAGGGAAGATATTTAGCTGGCACCTCCTGGCCCCCACTTCCTAGAAACACCTTTGCCTCTGAAAGGACCCCGAGATGCAGCCTTAAAATAAGGATGATCACTGGATAGCCAGGCACGGTAGCAACACTGTAATCCCAGCACCCGAGGAGGCTGAAGCAGGAGGACCCAAAGTCGCTAGCCTGGGCAACTGAGCAAGTTCAGGAGACCTTGTCTCAAAACAGATAAAAGGACAGTGACCCAAGCTCCTTGCTGCCCACTGTGCCCTGGCCAAATGCTGCCTTTGGGGACTCGGGGAAGCCGGGGGTCATCTCACCAGGCCCTCTGTTTCTACTGTTTCATGTCACTTCATGACCCTCAGAAAAAATCCACTTGGGACAAGCCTGGGAAGACCAGCAGGCCTAGTCCTGGAGGGGGTCCCGAGGCTAAGAAGGGTAAGGACTTCTTGGGTTCAGGCCACAGGGCAGTGCAGAGGCCCTGGCCATCCAGCCTCCCTGGCCTGCATCTCTCCATTCTGTTCCATGCAATCAAATGAAGCCAGACGCTGCCTCCCAGAAAGCTTAATGATGGGAAAAACACCGCCACCTGCACCGCTGGCCTCCCACACCAGCCCGGTGCTGAGGACGGAACCCAGGGCCTTGTGCACACGGGGCCACTGAGCTACATCCCGGCCCAACATTTTGTTACAATCAAGGGCTAGGTGTATAGCTCAGCGGCACAGCACCTGCCTGCAAGGCAAGGTCCTGAGTTCAATTCCCGGTACTCCACCACCAAAAAATCAAGTCTCTGTGTTCAGAGGACATGGCACTGAGCTAATACCTCAAGTGCCCTCCTCTCCTCTGTGTCCCTCCTTCTGTACCCTCCTCTGGGCCCCTGTGCCTTCTCCGGGAAGCCCTGTACAGCGCTGCCCTAGAGGGTGTCCAGGCACTGTGTCCCCAGCCCACATGCAGGCAGGTGAGCCTTTCCGTAGTGACAGAAGGGTGGGGTGGGAGTGGGTGCCCATGTCAGAGTGAGTGTGCAGGACTGCGGGCTGCCCTCATCACCAGACTGTCCCTAAAAGGGAGCGGTGGCAGTGCTGGGGAGGGGAGGCCCCGGAGAACACAGCCTTGGGGGATGGGCTGCTCCGCCCTCACCCTCATGGCCCCCCTAGAAGCCACGAAGAGCCCTCTCTGCTGTGCCAGGAGGGCTGCCCAGTGCCAGCCGGTGCTTTCGGGTAGAGGGCTGGGGCCCCAGCACGCTGGGCTTGGCTCTGGCCATGGGCAGGGCCTCACCCAGCAAGGCTGGAGCCACCAGACCTGGTCCTCTGGCCCCCTCTGCTGCAGACATGTGGATGGTGGCCCAGGGCCCATGTCCACTCCAGGAAGGAAATGGATGAGCCCCTTCTATCCCCAGACATCCTGAGCCTCTGATGCGGAGAAAGGGCCTTGAGCCTAGCGACCCCCATTTGTGGGTGGGACATGGAAGGGGACTGGTGACACAGGACATCCCTGGACACTCAGGTTTGACTGGAAGGTGCACCAGGTCTCCAGCCTCCTCGGGTCACCACTTGAAGCCGAAGCTGTGGGGCTCAGGGAGGTGGCAGAGAGGGTGTGGCGCCTAAGTCAGGACCTCCAGGAGTCAAGTCAAGTGTGGCTCGGTGGCAGGACACTTGCTCAGGGTGCACGAGGCCCTGGATTTTATCCCCAACACACAAAGCATAAATGGTGACAAGTCAGGACCTGTAAGGAGCCAGTATCACGTTACAGCCATGCACCACTGAGTTCAATGGTCCCATTCTCCAGATGGGGAAACAGAGGCTTTGCGGGGGGTCAATGACATGCCCAAGTTGCTTGGGAGCCCCTAATCCATCAGAGCAGGGAAGGGGTAAGAAGCAGGGGTCGGGTGGGGTGGCAGGGGGCTGGGATGCCGAGTCTCTGGGAGGAGGCAGGCTCCGGAGCTGTTGATCTCTAAATTATAGCGTTGGCGCACACCGGTTGCTGCGGCAACCGAGTTGTCCTGAAGCGGGAAGTGTATAAACATTGCCACAGATGCACAATTAGATCAGGAAGAAGAATAGCACAGAAAATAGAAACTTCCAGCCTTATGTAATTCTGGGCCAAAATGTCATCAGGAGCCCAGGCCCAGCCCTGGCCCTGGTGGCTCTGAGGGCCGAGGTGGCATGAATGTGTCCTGGAGCCTCGCGGGCAGGGAGGGTGGAGGCAGGGCCTGGCTTCCGTGGGCCAGCTGTGTGCCAGCACCCAGTGGGTGACAGGCCTCCTCCGCTCCAACAGCTGGGACTCTGACAGCCCGGGTCTGGGCGGGAAAGGCAAAGGCAGGCGGGTGGGCGACTGCCTTTATCTCTCTGGTTCTCCCAAGGGAGGGAATTTGTATCCCCATTTTACAGATGAGAAACCTGTGGCCCTGAGAGGTGTACTGGATTCTTACTGGAGGCAGGACAAGACTCTAGGGCTCCGGGGCTGCAAGGAACAATGGGACGGGAGGGTCTGAGACAGGAACTCAGACCCTCATGGGACAGCAGGGCCTATAGCTGGGCGGTGGGCTTCTGTCTATGGTGGAAACAGTTACATCTTGTATGTCTTTGCAGTAGCCCTTGGCTGCCAGTGATTCCCAGGCACATGAAATGCTAGTGCAAGTAAGGACCTGAAAAGCCAAGCATGGTGGTACATACCTGTGATTCCAAAACTCAGGAGGCTGAGACAGGAGCATCTTGAGGTGGAGGCCAGTCTGGGCTATATAAGTGAGACTCTGGGGAAAGCAAATAAAAAGAATGCTTTTTGAATTTTTGTTTAATTTTAATTAAATGTAAAAATCCACGGGTGGGGGCTGGGGATTTAGCTCAGTGGCATAAGCGCCTGCCTTGCAAGCAGGCAGTCATGAGTTCGATCCCGGTACTGATAAAAAGGAAAAAGACAAAAAAAAAAAAAAAAAATCCAGGGGTGGTCAGTGGCTACTGCATGGGACAGCACAAGAGGATGTCCTGCCTCTGAGACACCCCAGTGTGCAGAGGCTGAGCCCAGCAAGGTGAGCAGGGACAGCTCAGGGCCGTGGTGGGGAGGCAGCATCTAGACGGGCGTCAGGGAGCTTCCGGAACAGCAGGTAAAGCAGCTCTCAGGGGCCCTGGTCACGTGGACGCCACCCGCACGGGCTTGAGCCCATTCTTCGGAGCCGCACTGCCTGTCCCAGGTCACCTGCCAGCACAGGGGAGGTCTGGGCTTCCGGTCTCCGCCTTCTCCCTTCCCACACACCCGTGTCCCCTCCCTGCCGCCCAGCGCCTGACCTGTCCGGCTTGTCCTCCACAGGCCCTGTGTCTTCCCAGGTGACCACGCCGGCCTCAGGACATGCACGGGCACAGCCGCAACGGGCAGGCCCACGTGCCCCGGCGCAAACGCCGCAACCGCTTCGTCAAGAAGAACGGCCAGTGCAACGTGTACTTCGCCAACCTGAGCAACAAGTCCCAGCGCTACATGGCGGACATCTTCACCACCTGCGTGGACACGCGCTGGCGCTACATGCTCATGATCTTCTCGGCGGCCTTCCTCGTCTCCTGGCTCTTCTTCGGCCTCCTCTTCTGGTGCATCGCCTTCTTCCACGGTGACCTGGAGGCCAGCGCGGCGGTGCCGGCCCCGGGGGGCCCCGGGGGCAATGGCGGGGCGCCCCCGGCGGCCCCCAAGCCCTGCATCATGCACGTGAACGGCTTCCTGGGCGCCTTCCTCTTCTCCGTGGAGACCCAGACGACCATCGGCTACGGCTTCCGCTGCGTGACAGAGGAGTGCCCGCTGGCCGTCATCGCCGTGGTGGTCCAGTCCATCGTGGGCTGCGTCATCGACTCCTTCATGATCGGCACCATCATGGCCAAGATGGCCCGGCCCAAGAAGCGCGCTCAGACGCTGCTGTTCAGCCACCACGCGGTCATCTCGGTGCGCGACGGCAAGCTCTGTCTCATGTGGCGGGTGGGGAACCTGCGCAAGAGCCACATCGTGGAGGCCCACGTGCGCGCACAGCTCATCAAGCCTTACATGACCCAGGAGGGCGAGTACCTGCCGCTGGACCAGCGGGACCTCAACGTGGGCTATGACATCGGCCTGGACCGCATCTTCCTGGTGTCGCCCATCATCATTGTCCATGAGATCGACGAGGACAGTCCGCTCTACGGCATGGGCAAGGAGGAGCTGGAGTCGGAGGACTTCGAGATCGTGGTCATCCTGGAGGGCATGGTGGAGGCCACGGCCATGACCACCCAGGCACGCAGCTCCTACCTAGCCAGCGAGATCCTGTGGGGCCACCGCTTCGAGCCCGTGGTCTTCGAGGAGAAGAGCCACTACAAGGTGGACTACTCACGCTTCCACAAGACCTACGAGGTGGCCGGCACGCCCTGCTGCTCGGCCCGGGAGCTGCAGGAGAGCAAGATCACCGTGCTGCCCGCCCCGCCACCTCCGCCCAGTGCCTTCTGCTATGAGAACGAGCTGGCCCTCATGAGCCAGGAGGAAGAGGAGATGGAGGAGGAGGCGGCTGCGGCTGCGGTGGCCGCTGGCCTGGGCCTGGAGGCGGGCTCCAAGGAGGAGGCGGGCATCATCCGGATGCTGGAGTTTGGCAGCCACCTGGATCTGGAGCGCATGCAGGCCACCCTCCCGCTGGACAATATCTCCTACCGCAGGGAATCTGCCATCTGACCTCCAGGCCCCTGTCCACCTCGCCTCCTGCTGCTGTCCGAGCCCCTGCTGGGGCAGGAAGCCAGGATGCCTCTCCCACACTCAGGACAGAGCTGAGTTAGCTCCATGGACCTCCTGGAGGAAGGTGGGGATGTCCAAGACTGGGGGACACTTCCTGCCGACTGCAGAGCCCAGGCCTGGGGAAGGCCCAGGGACTCACTCGGTCAAAGCTCCAGCCCCTACCCGCCAGTGGCTGTGGCCCCCGCACCTTCTACCCTTTCCCCACTGACCTTTCAAGGCCATGCCCGCCCCATGCCCTCCGAACTTGGGGAAGATGGCTGGACTGCTGGGGAGTGGGCATCTTGGGGTTCCGGGAGGGCAGAGGGTGGGCCCGGGAGGGGGAGGGGCGCGTTTCTCTTGCATGACTACAGCCTAGTGCCCTCACGACTTTCTTTTGTAAATATCTACAAACGGAGTGAGCTAGAGACGCCAGATCCACCTCTGCCAGTATTACCTGCAGGACAAGGGGATGTCGTCCCTCTCTGCCCCCCACCGTCATGCCCAGCCCCTTCCCCTGCCCAGCTGGCTGTCCCCAGAGCCCCTTCAAAGCCAAAGTGTGGCCCCCTGGATGGTGTCCGGTTTGGGTGCAGATGCGGAACCCCGAGAGGCAGGCTGAGGACCTGGCCCCCTCCTCCCTGCGGTCCTCCGGGTCCCGTGCCCAGCTCAGACTGCTAATGGAGTTTGTAATGATCTATTTTTAATAAAGTATATGGTCCGATAGGCCTGAGCTGGCTGAGGGGGAGACGGAGTGCGAGTGCACATGTGTGTCTGTGTGTGTCCCTCTCTAAGACTCTAGACCTTTGGGGGCATCTCAGCACCTGCCACTGTCCTCCCAGAGTCCACGGAGGGGTCCCGAGTGGGCAACAAAGAACCCAGGTCCGAGGCGAAGCTCTGGGGAAGTGGAATGGGATCCCTGACTTGCACACTTACACTCACACCCACACAGACACGCATGCACACACGCACACGTGTGATGAGCCAGGCTGCAGGACTCAGTGCCAGGAAGGGTTCCAGGAACCAGTGGGAAGCTGCCACACTGTGGGGGCCCCCTGAAAATTCAGGTACCCATGAGTCACTCTCCCTGGGCTCCCAGCCCAGCTTCTCCTGTTTGCACTCCAACAGCCGTACCCCGTGCCAGGCCAGCCGGAGTAAAATCCAAGGCGACCTCGCCCACACACCGCCGGGGCCTGGAGGTGAAGCAGAAGCCACCAGGTCTCAGGGGCCTGGACTTGAACTTGTATAATGTCATTTCCAGGGTGTCCCACTGGGCCTTCAGGTCACCCAGCCAACCGAGGTGCACAGGGAAATGAGACTCCACCTCCTGAGAGGGAAGTCAAGCTGCTGTTGCAAGGGGCCCGCACAGGAGGAAGGAAGGGTGGCCACGCCAGGCGACCTATTTCAGGTCCCTCTTGAGCCTTCAGCTGCCTTCACCAGCTGCGTGCACAGCGCTCGGATTGCAGGAAGGCAGGAGGCATCCTCCCCGGGCCGGGGGAATCTTCCATGCCAAGGCGCCAGCTTCCCTGGGATATGCAGGGAACCGGCCACCAGGCTCGCCCACTGTGAAGTGCTGTGGGCAGCCTTGGGAATGGCCACCTCCCACTAGTCCCGGCAGTGAGCTGCTGTAGAGGACACCGCTGGGCATCCGGGTGCTTAACAGTTTAACAAGGGAGCCCAAGGCCTCCTTCCGTGGGGGAGAGAGGCGCCCTGGGATCCAGGATGGAACCTGTCACAGCCTTCAGTTCAGCTTTCTTCCAGCTCTGAGAGCCCCATCTCCTCCTCTCCTGCCTGCTTCGGTCCCCAGTTGCCCTGGGCAACCAGGAGTGACCAGGGACTCATCCCACAGGATACACAGTTGACACACACACTCCCGGGGAGAGGCCAGGCCACAGGACGGAGAGGGTCACACAGAGGGCTGGCGCTAGGAGGAGCAGCCAGGGACACCTGAGATCCCCCTCCCAAACGTCTTGGGTCACCAGTTTGCCTCTTGCTTGGACTCTCGGGGTAACTGCTGCTCTAAGGCGGCCTGCCTCTCTGGTCACAGACAAGTGACCTCCAAAGCCAGGATTTTCTGGCTGGAGTGGCAAAGGGGAGAGACAGTGTGGGATGGGGTGGCGGTGCCAGTGACTGAGAGCGAGAGGGACAGGGAGGCTGCAGGAGGCTCCAGGTGCAGGAGGCCTGGGCCTCTGCAAACCTGCGCTGGCTCCTGCTCCCCAGGGCTCAGCTCTGCTCCATGCTGACTCACCTTCCTCTCCCACCTGCTCTCGTCACAGTCACGGCCTCCCACCTGCCTCCCGCTTGCTCCTGCAGCTCCCGCACCCTCCCTGCAAGCCAGCTCCTGGCTGCCGATGGCTGCCTCCCTCCGGGGGTGGCAGGAGCTCAGGTCCCCTGGCTCCTGACATGCACATGGGTGCACAGACTTTGCAGGGCCTGGAGGTGCCGCCCTGCTCCTCCTCCCCAGCCTCACTGCAGTTCCCTGCAGAGGTGGGAAAGGAGGACCCCACTCTACCTGCCCCATCAGGCCTCCCCCTGCAGCCACAACCCCAGGTAGGCGGCTCCTGAAGGATCAGGAGAAGGAAGGGAGGGGCCCAAAGCCTCCCCTCTGCACCTGGGACCCGGCCTGGCCGTCTGAAGCCCCATCTGGGTACAGTCATCCCAGATTCGCCCCGCACGCTCCCAGTGGTCCTCCATTGTCCTTCTCCTCCTGGCACAGGACCAGCTGCGGACTTAGAGGAGTGCATGGCTGGATGGAAACGCAGGTTCCTTGTCCAAAAACTCAGGAAGATGCTAAAAATCAGCAAAGGTACTAAAATAGAAAACGTTTCCCTTACTTACAATTTCCTCCTCTGCTCGTGCACAGGGGTGGTATCGCTGAAGTTCACTGGCAGAACACAAGTTCAAAGATGAAACTAAGAAGTTCAGCTGGGTGTAGCGGTGCATGCCTGTAATTCCCGCACTCAGGAGGCTGAGGCAGGAGGATCGCTGCAAATTCGAAACTACTCTGGGCTACAAAGTGAGCTCAAGGCCAGCCTGAACCGCATAGCAAGACCCTGTCTGAAAGCAAAAAAAAAAAAAAAAAAAAAAAAAAGGCCAGGAGTTTAGCTCAGCGACATAAATGCATGCTTGGCAAACATGAGGTCATGAGTTCAATCCCTGGCACAAAAAAAAAAAAAAAAAGAAAAGAAAAGAAAAAAGAAAAAGAAAAACACCCCAAAACCAAAAAACCTAAAACATTCAAATCAGCTAGGTGTGGACATGCACACCTAGAATCCCAGCTCCTCAGGGCCGAGGCAGGAGGATGCCGTCAGGGGAACCTAGAGAGATGGCTAGGACTGTGCTCCTCCTGTCTTTCAGAAGATGCCAGGAGGTCTTGGGGACAGGGTGGGGCAGGACAAACAGGCACTTGGCAAAATCAGCTGGATCCCTCCTTGCCTGTTCCCCTGAACACCTGCAGTCCCAGGCCACCCTCTGGCCTGGGTCCCAGTGGGCTCTGGACGTGAGCCCCATCCCCTTGGGTCTGCACTCTGCCCGGAAGTGCCCCTTGGGGGTCCCAAAGAGGTTCTTATTCACCCCACGGGGGTGAATCCCGTGTCACAGGGGTGACAGCAGCCAGGGCTCCCCATCACCGTCGCCATGGCTGTCCACTACGCTGCAGGTGCCATGGCAACAGGACAGGTAGGCCAGGCCCCAGTGGGAGGGAGGCAGTCGGCAGCTTTCTCCCCGTGAGGGAAGCCGAGGGGACCACATAGGCACCCCGGGAGCAGCTGCAGAGCCTTCTCCAGAGCCAGGCCTCTGGCCCCTGGTGTCCTCGCCAGGTCCCCTCCTGCCCTGGCCCCAGCCGAGTCCTGAGGCTCCCTGCCAAGCAGAGGGAGGTCAGCTCCTGCCCCTCGCCCTGCCCCAGGCCCGTCCTTCCCGTTCCTCCCTCTGCTCCATGCCTGCAGAGGGAAGAGATGCAGGGCGTCTGCGGGTGGGGCTGGGCCCAGAGTCTGTGGGAATTCGGGATCCTCCTGATGCCTGGCCAGAACTGGAGCAGGAGGCCACTAAGAAGGAAGCCAGGGACACACACACACACATACACACACACCCCTGGGGTGTGGAAGGGGCCAGGCCCGGGCTGGCTCTGTGACCTGACCCTGTCCCCTCTTCTCTGGGAGATGAGGGTGTGACTGGTGCCCTGCACAGTGGACACAGGCAGCAAATCTGACCTCCCTGGGACCCCACCCCACTGCACCCCGTCCTGGGTCTCTCAGTGGTGTGGAAGGGTTACCCTCCATCCTTCACTGGTGACAATGAAATGCCTGCACCCTCCAGCTACAGAGCTCCTGGGTCTTTTGTTTTTGTTTTTGGTCTTTGTTCAGTTGTCCAGGCTGGCCTGGAACTCACGATGCTCCTGCCTCAGCCTCCTGTGGGCTGGATTCCAGGCATGTGCCGCCTACTGGACTCCGACACTTTGATTTCTCCTCAGGATCTTCAAGCCTAACCACAGCAGAGTCTGGTGATAGGAGAGGGAGGCTAGGGAGCGGGTGCAGGGGGCACTGAGGGGCCAGGCTGTCCTGGGCAGCTGGCCAGATAAGCAGGCCAGCTGCTCATGCTGTCACATGAGGATCGCAAGGCCTTTCCTGCAGGCCAGGGAACAGAGGGCTGAGTGACGGAAGTGGAGTGCATGGGGGCCTGGAGCGGGCAGGGCAGAAGCAGCAGCCTGCATGTGGCCAGGTCTCCTGGACACCTTCGCCCCTGTCCAGGCCTCGGAACCCCAAAGGATCTGGAGGAGCCAGCAGGAACAGGAGGGGCGGCTTCCGGGCTCAGGAGTCAGGTGGTCCCGGAAGTGCCAGGCCAGCCTTGGGGGCACTCAGGGGACATTAGTGCCCAGAGAGCAGAAGGGGCAGAGGGGCTCCACTTTCTGGGGCCCGGACAGGAGTAGGGATCTGGATGTCCCCAGCCCCCAAAGACTTGTGTGTGAGAGGCCCAGGCGCCGCCTGTGGCACCGGTGGGAGACTGCAGTCTTCAGGAGCTGGGGACCAACAGGAAGGTAGTGACCCCACACCCTGAGTGTCCCAGGCCCTGCCACAGTAGTGGCTTCAACTGCATTAGCTGGGGTGTCCCCTCCTGCTGCAACGGTCAGCACGACCCTATTCACCCCTCCTCAGGGAGGCCCACCCCAGAGGGGTGGCTTCTAAGACTTCCCTGGCCTCCACTGGACCCTGGGGGCCCAGGGTCACCATGGTCCTGGGGCCTTGGTACCACAGCGCCACCCCGTGGCCACCTTGGGGGCTGCTGGCTGCCCATTTTACAGACACACAGACAGAGGCTCTGAGGCCAAAACTCCCACCCTGCTCCATACTAAGAATTGAACTCAGCTGCTGAGCTACCTCCCCAGACCTTACTTATTTATTTTTATTTTGAGACTGGGTCTCCCTAAATTGATCAGTTATCCAGGAGAAGCTTGGACTTGCCATCCTCCTGCCTCAGCCTCCCAGAGTGCTGTGATCACAGGTGTGCCGCATCTTGCCGGACTGTGAAAGAGCTTTCCAGGCCTCTCCATGTTGGGATGGAGTTGGGAGCTGGGATTACAACCTGCCTGGGCCTTTGTCCTGTGTGTTGTTTGGGACACAGCCCTGTTTTGTCCTTTTTTGTATCATTCCTACAAAAGGTAAATTGACACAGAAGGCTGATTTCTGCAGCTCACGTGTTCCTACAAAACATTGCTGGACTGGGCTTACCTG